GCCAATCTAGAGTGTATTCAAAGATGAATGACAATATAACCAACACACTCCTATTCTGGAAGCTTGGTACCTATTGTTTCCAGTTATTAATATGAAATAGAAGACCTTTAAATATTTGTATTATACTTAGCCAAATGTCATTTTACAATCATTTTAACTTCTATTCAGTTTCCTTTATCTTATGCTTAATTTTGAACATTGGGGCCTTTCTGTTCATTTCAGTGCATTTCACAAAAAATCATTTTCTTTGTAGAGAATGGAACCCTAACCATACTTACCCAAGTTTTAATTATTATAAGATTTTATTCCTTTTCATTTCATTTCAAATATGGAGATATTTGATGTCATCATATGATTTTTCATGGAATGAACAATAAAATGTGGCAAATTCAGTTATTAAATAATGATATTTGATTTGTTACATTGTTCCCATATTACTAGACACTGTGCTAAATGGATTATCTTGTTTTTTTTTTCTTCACAACTCTCTTTATAACGTTCTTTTTACTTGTCATTTACAGATAAAGGGTGCAGAGGCATGGAGAGGTTAATAAGTTTTCCCAAGATTACACAGACATTACTGCTCTGAAAACTGCTCTTTTTTTAAATCTTTTTCAAATTTTAACGTTTTATTTTTAGGTTTATTTATTTTGAGAGACAGAGACAGCGTGAGTGGGGGAGGGGAGGCAGAGAGGGGAGACAAGATCCCAAAGCAAGCTCCCTGCTGTAGAAGCAGATCCCAACTTGACAAGGGCCAGACTCACAAGCCTGGAAGATCATGACCTCAGGCAAACCAGAGTCAGATGTGTGAGCCACCCAGACACACCTCAAATGTTTATTTTTTGAGAGAGAGGGACAAAGCACAAGCTGGGAAGGGGGCAGAGGGAGATGGAGACACAGAATCTGGCAGATTCCCAGGCTCCGACTGTCAGTAGAGCCCGACGGGGCTGGGACAGGAACCCTGAAGATCGCCTGAGCCGATGCTGGGCAGCTTAACTGACTGAGCCTCAGAAGCGGTCCTGGAACTGCTCACACTCTTAGCCCCTATCCCTAGTTTACTACCCAGAAGTGAGAAAGGAAGTGAATAGACCTTTTTCTTTCCTCACTTCCCCTCACCCATAGTAGTGAAGAGTGAAAATGTGATGTTCTTTTCTAAGACAAACTTTAGTACATTCCTGTGTGGGATGTGCTCTTGAGTCTAAGGGCACAGGGCAATATGGGATGAGAGGGAAAAAAATGATACTTCTTCCTTACATTCAAAATGTAAATTATCCAGTTCTTAAGACAGCGAGTGTGGAGTTAATTATAAAAATAGGTATATGAAGCAGAAGATATTTATATTTTATATTTGAATCATAATATATTACAGTACAATTAACAGTAATGTTTAAATGGAATATGGAGGCTGGATAACTTCTCCAAAGTGGCATTCAATTCTATAATTCCATGATTCTGAGAATAATGTCAGAACTCAGAAAAGAGACTTGATCTCTGATACATAGTAAGTTTTTGAGGGGGGTATTTAAATGCTAGCTGTAGTATTATCTATTAGCGTTAGTAATGAATGTTTAAAAGTAGTGTTACAAGTGTTGATCATTCACAAAAAAACACCTTGCTAATAATGTGTGTACAATTATTAGCCCCACCCAAATACAATAATTTCCTGAAAGCTAGATACAATGTCATTGGTATTTGAAAAAGAACCCAGACAAATTTTATATAATAGTAACACAA